ATAGAATGCTATTTATTCGGAAGAATAAAAAGCATTCGTGTTTTTTTTCTTTTTCTCTTCATAATGTCTCTTATTCATTTCAAACTTACGATTGAAATTAAGAACCAATTAGTCCTACATGAATCAGACACTTGTTTTTATGTTGATGAGTCATCCACCTTCGCTCTACTTGAGAACGAGTTCTATTATTTTTTTTCTTTCCACTTTCTTGTTTTTGTATTCTACACTTTAAAAAAAGCTGTTGGTTGTGACTATTAACCGTGACCATAACATTACATTAACTTATAACTTCGTTATTTTGTAAAATATCCTTGAAGAAATGGTAGGAGAACACATAGAAGAAAAGGTAGGAGAACACATAGAAGAAAAAAGAAATAGTACTAGGTGAAAAATCAGAAACATCGATAAAATTTTACAATTGCTTGATCATATAACTAAAAACAAAACAAATAATTTTATTATTTCAATAAAATCTTATGAATCAATTTATTTGTTCCTTTATTTTATTGTAGATGGATAATTTCGATATTGACACATACTTTGAATTTAAGACATATGAAGAATTTCGAAAAGAACGATTGAAATTAAATTATGATTGTACATTAAAATTATGGTATTCACTACCTGATACTCTACCAACAAATGATAATAATCGAGTGAGACGACAAACACGTAAACAACAACGAGCACGTTTCAGAAAAATAAGACATTATTTGGTTTATGCTATATTGTTCAAGAAAACATCTCTTAAGAAGAAAATTAAGTCAACAGGTAAATAAAAAAATAAAAAATAAATTTGATGATTAATCAAGAAATTATTATACAATAATTTAATTTCGATTATTATTTATTTTCAAGATAATTTTCGATAAAATTATTGAAAGAATATATATTAGATTATAATTCGTTTATATCAAAGGATTAAATTCAAAAAGATCACGTGAAAATTATTGTTTTGAAATAGATCATAAAAAAGTTTTGTTTGATATTGTTTTTATTATTATTCTAAGATAATAGTTTTAAAGTCAAAACAAAAATAGGAAAATATGCTTTGATGAAAATTTGATTTCATTTTTTCTTTCAGTTTTTCGACTATGGAATGAAACATTAAATATCCCCCCATCAAATGATGAATTTATTCGTGATTTACATCAATTAATGGGTCGAGTCACTGTAGAGTTTTGTAATAGAGGACGACAATATGATCCAACAATCAGTTATGAAGAATTATTTAAAGCTGGTCGAAGTGTTTGGTTTATGAGTGCTTTTCACCTTGAATGCAATTTACCTTTAAGTTTCACTGATTCTATGCTTGGTTATAATATGCTTTATCCATATACAGATGATTTAGTCGATTGTAACGATATAAGTCGAGAAGCAAAAGCCGATTTTGCAAAAATTTTTCATGAACGACTATTGGTTGGTGAACCAACACATGATCCTCAAGTACATTTTGATGGAAAACAATCAAATGTTACTGAATTAAATTTACCATCATCATTACAAGCACAAGCTAATCGTATAGTAAAAATATTTGATATGGTTAAATTTATTGAAAATGATTGGAGACCTAGTTGTGAACATGAAGGTGTTTATATGAGTTTAACTACAATACATGAAGCACAAATGAAATCAACATTACAACATGCAAGAACTGAAGATGATTATGCACCAACCATGGCACAAATTGAACAAATTAGTGCAGAAAAAGGTGGCGCATCAGTAATAGCTGCTGGATTTTTACTTCAAGGCCGATTAACAAGAGCTCAAATGGCTTATTTAGAATATATAGGATTTGGTTTACAATTAATTGATGATTTACAAGTAAGTTTAAATTAATTTTAAATAGAAAATACTTTTTGTTTTTGTTTTTGTTTTTTAAGGATCTAAAAGGAGATATGAAAAATAATCATCGAACAGTTTTTACTCAAACTCTTGCTGAAGGTCGAACACTAGATGCACCCACAGCACGTCTTATACAATATTGCTATTGTGCACCAGCATATGAAAAATTTAGTGATGATCAACGTACAGTTTCAGATGGAGAAACTGATGTTACATTAGCTCAATATGTTCGAGCTTTAATGATGATGTTGTCTGTTTTATTGGTTTTAGAAGCTGCATCTCGATTACGAAAATATTATTCAAGAAAATTCTATCGTGAATTATCTTCACTAAGTCCACTTAGATTTCATCATCTCAAATTAATTCATATTGAAAAAAGACTTTGGAGTCTTGTACAAAAACATTGGTTTAATTAAGTTATTTTTTAGTTTTTTATTTAACAATCATGATAATCTATTGATTTTATAACATATGTTTTATGCATATAAATGTATATGACAGGATTTTTTTTTCATCTATTATTCGAATAAAAAACAGTAGAACGGCTATTATTCATTACTTGAAAAAAATGAAACACAAAGAAAAGAAAATGAGTCTCGACCGAGATTCGAATCCAACTACTATCGTGCTTTATGTATTGTATTTTACCAAAAAAAATGAATGATACCAGTTAATTAGATTTATATAGTTTGAAGATATGTTTGAAAAATGATTAGTTATGCTTCTCAAAAACATAATCCATATGTTAGGAAATATATTTTTGTAAATTATTGATGAGTTAATCTACTCTACTTATACTGGTATGAATCTTGACTATAGTTCATTATTAATAAGATGACATGGAACAAATGACTAATTTTTCACGTATAATCAATTAAATAATTATGACAATCAATATATTTGAATATGATAAATATATCAGCGTTTGATTTTTGAGAAATTGTGAAAAATATTCTTTTAGTTTATCTATTTTGATATTGTTTTCAGACATTAGTTTTACATATAATGTAAACAGAAAGTTTGGAAGAATGTTTTATGCCGGTTTTCTTTTTCAAACTGTATCATGATTGCAGGAATGTATTTCAAAAGAATTCAATAAAACAGTAACGGATCTAGGATTTTGTAAGAGGGATACTTCTCCGAAGAAGGAGTAATCATTAAGAAAAATCAGTTTTTTGAGGCTTATATTAGGTAGTGTAAACTCATTTTTTATTCATTTTTACTAGAGAAAAACGAACAAAATTTTGTTCGAATCAATGATGATCTTTCCTTCGTGCTCATCCATAAATCCATCACTACGATAAAAACTGCCAAACACTGAATCTTAATATATGTGATGAATTCAAAACAATTAATATGTAGAAAAAAGATGTAGAGGAGTTCAGATCTATGTTGAATACCTTTTTTGGAAAAATCGAAATTTAAAGTAGCATAATTTTGCTATTTTTTGTCAGTTTTTTTTTTGGCCAAAAACACTGATCTTCAGCCCAAAGTATTCTCTACATACCTATATAAAAATTATGAACATTCAGCCAGAAGAGCTTTTGAACAAAAAAATAAAAACGTCTGAAGAAAGTCATTGATCGAAGACTAATTCTTCTCTACGTATAGAACATTAACTCAGATATGATTCATATGCCTACTGCAATGAATCATAGATACGACGATTTTGTAAAGAAACTCTCAAATGTATGAAAATATTTCTATATAGACATTTGAAAAAAAAACAACGTTTACACAAAATACAGTGAAGTTTTGTTTAGAGAAACTTATTGAACTTGTTTTTCAAAAATAAATTGTCAATGATATGAATTCTATTAAGGCTTTGATCTATACTACATCCTCTGTTGATCAGCAAGCTTGAAGCTCAAATGGAAGGTTTTATCGCATCAGGTCCGTCACAAGATTCAACTTTCTTATAAAGTTTTGAAGAATATTTTCAATTTAGTTAATGTTTAATTTTATTTTATCATGAAGATACTAATTCAATATTCAGTTTTACATGAGTCTTTCTCGATCTTGAGGGTGTGGGTCGTTTTTGAAAGTATACCCACACCCACCCACACCCACATCCACATGCAGCTACAGTTAGATCTTCCATGAATGGAAATAGTTTTTGAATTCGAAGAAAAAATTTATGTTCAAAAGAATATTCATCAGATAATGATACTTTACGAATATATGTAAATGGATATGAATAAACATAACATTGAATTTCGTTTCTATCTGCAAAATAATTAATACAAGAAATAATTTGATTATAATGATCAATAAACGAGCAAATATTAAATAAAAATATCTTTAACCGTGGTAAATGAGTGATAATATTTGCTTTCGAATCATTTCCATCAGCACATGACTTTTCACGAGAACATTTAAAAATACAAACGAAGTTCTTCTAAATTTGATATTTGATGTAAAAGTAATACAACTACTGCATCATAGAAGTCTATTTTCAAATTACAGGACAATAAAAAACATCTTAGATTTAATCATTTTTCTGAAATATGATAATATGTTTTAATGAATAAGAAATTGCTAAAAATCTATTTTATGTATTTTTGAGATTATACGAGAACATGGTGGTTGTATTTTAACACTGAACACACGAAGTTGATCGAAACGACTATCAACTAAATGAATACAATCATCGGCACAAGCCATTTTAATTTATAATTCTAACAAAGTTGAGTTTCATATCATAATTGCAGTGCGAAATGTATAAGATAAAATACTTTTCTGATGAAAATGGCAGTAAAATAAATACAATAAAAATACGTCTAGAATATTGTCACACCTTAATTTTGTTGATGTCGATATTTTTCTCACTGACTATGCTTGCATATTTTTACCTGTTTTTTTTTCGTTCTCTCCAAACGATTTGTCTTGTATTTTTCTCTTTCGTTTTCAAAGGTTGATGCAGAAATGTAAAACTATTTTTCTTCTCATGCGACTGTTCGTTCTAATTTTACAGTTATTTATACCACGACAAAAGTGCTCTTAAAAAATAACATACTCATTCAACAAGCATACATTTCATCAAAAGACATTAGAACGAATACAACGCAAAAATGGCTGACAACATTACTCGATCTCTTCATACATTGACCGTCGATTTAGTATATCATATATTGGACAAACTCGATCGATTAACCATTCTTCTATCACTTCGTAATGTTTGTACGAGTCTTAATACGATTATTGATACCTATCATCCATACAAGGTAAACTATTGCACCTTTTTTGAAGACAGATTTTCATCATCTTCGAAACATTATTTATTTCATTACTGAATTCTATTCTTCGTTCAACTTAGTATTAGATAAAATAAGAAAAGCATCATTTGCTTTTTATCCAATTATATCTAGAAATAACACTGTGTGAAACATTTCAAATCATTTTTTACAATTTATTCGGTTTTTCACTGTGAATTATTTTTAGAAAAGAATCAAAAAATGAAATATTTTGTAAAAACCAATTCATCTGCCGTTGTTCCAATCGAAGGATAGTGTACTCATAACTTTAAGAGCACAAGGAGTACCCAGGAGTATGGCCATAGGACTACGAAAGAATACTGTTCGTTCCAAACATTTTATTTCTTCAGATGAAAAGAAAACAATAACGAACAAGAAGAAAAAACAAAATTATTCCTTGATCTTGTCTACTTATTTGCATAACACGAGATAGACGATCATTTGATAAACCACCGTTTTTATCGGCCAGTAGTCAACATGCTGACTGTTTAGTTTTCCTATCTTTTCTAATCATAGCAAAGAGAAAATATTTAATTAATTTAAAGATTATATCAACTGACTGCTGTAGTTATCATCAGATACATTATAGTACATGTCATGACAACAAGTGACTCATCAGACGTCTGTGATATTTAACTACCTATTAAGACATTCGTGTTCATTGGACCTATCATACTGTCCCTGATATGATGCCAACGGTCAGTTGAAATGATCTTTACAGTAATTATCTATTTCTTGTTGCTCTCGTTATTCTCACTATCATCATCTCGCATTTTCTCACCACGTACAAGGACTCCGCGGGACAGTCTAAAAGCCCGAAACATCACGTATTTCGGTCCTTGTATCTGTAGACGAAAGCTCAGCCAGCAAATCAACTTTTACGCCTACAACTTGAGTTGCTGCAACGCAAACGGAATTACTAACCACTGAAATTGAAATACGTATACATACTTATCAAAAAAGTATACGTAGCGTTTTAAAACGCATTTTTTTTGTTTCGAGATTATGGAGTTGGGTCGGAACTCAAAAAGTTTACTTTGCAGTTGTCAACAGACCACACGGGTATGGTCAAAATCCGTTAGGCAACGATAGTTGAATTCAAATATATCCACCTCAAGCACAGCAACAGCGGAGAAGACATGAATGAATCGATCATTTGTAGAACATGATTATAGTTCTTCTAGCAGTGATACTAAGAAGAAGTCAAACTACTAATAACATGGGTAATAAATAATGCTGGCGATTGGTTCAGCTGATGATCAGCGGAAAGATAAAATAATTTTCTAGACCACAGATGTCTCGAATGCTCGTAAATATCAAACAAATACTGCACATGTATCAACTCTCTTTCTCTTGTCTGTCTCATTCTTTCTTGCGTTCCTGAGAGTCCTGTCATGTACAGGTTTCTTTACATTTTTTCCGGTACCTTTTATTTATGTTCTGTTGCTAGAAAGCTCTAAGATTTGATGGTGTACAAAGGGAGCACCAAGGAGTACAGGAGTACACTGTTTTTCCCTTGGCAACAGTGCTGAAGATTTATTATTGTAGACATATTTAAGGCAGCAGATCTACTTAATGTTATTTCTTTGACACTCATTACAACTTACTTCCGATTCAGTGAGCTACTCATTGAGTCTTACTTGCAAACATATCTACTGATGCATCTCGATCCTTAATTGTGGATCTAAGCGGGAACATTTTTGCTTTGTAGGAGATATATTTTGGGAGAACTAAGTAATTCTGCTCTTGATATATTTGTGGTTCTTCAATTTAACTACTATGTATAATCGGTTAGAACCATGGCAGAAGTGATTCATAGTATCCGATTTTTTGTCGATATATTCATGTGAAAAGATATTTCTACCAAAAAAAAAATCCGGTAGCTCTCACTGTTGATACGAAAACTAACAAGAAAAATCAATGAATCATCTTTCATAGAAGTAGAGCAATCTTTACAAATCTACTACTCACTCAAATCTTTTTTCCAATGTACATGGAACACTAGTATGAAGAGCTGTCCAAAAAAAAGCATCAAGAGCTCTAGTAAATGCAATAAAATGATCCTAGAAGGCCGCATGTAAATCAGACTCTTCCATTACAAAATGCTAATTTTAATTAAAAAAAAAACATATAGACATTCAACGAACTGATGTTGACATGGG